TGCACAGCAACAATATAAACAGACAGAGACAGAAGGCCTTTCAAAGCTGACAAACACAAGCACCACCACTTTTCACGGCAATCAAAGTTATATTTACTCATGAGGTAGTTATCAGAACCTACTCAATATTTTCTGACTTCTGCAGTAGAATCATTAACATTTAAAAGGCTCAGGAAAACATGTGACAGTCCGAAATGCTGGTAGATTTGTTCCACTTACTGAAAAGGTTTTCAAGCACTTTTTAGTGAGAATATTAATAACTGCTCTTAAATTGACACTCTAGAAAAACAACCTAATAATCCTACTGCCAGAAATGTAAAATAAGAATGGTACCTTCTTTCATAAGTTCTGGGCAAATACAAAAAATAAAATTTTATATTTAAATGAAATTTCAACCTGATTTTGTCTCACTATAGTTTTTTTTCCAGCAGTCCTTTATGTTTAGAAAAAAAGACTCACTTTAGACTAGCATTTTCTAAAGAGTGTTCCTATGAGGTTGAACCTACTAGGTTCCTACTTTACTTGCACAATTATGAGTTGCCCTGCCTACACGTACAGTGCTATACAGGCAAAAAAGTTAGTATTTATACAGGAACAAAATCTTAACAGTTTATATTTGAATTTAACAATCATGAAAACACTTACTTAAAAAGTAATGCAAAATAATACATAAAAATGTAAAACTCAAACCAAAAGTGCCTGAGCATCTCACTAATAACACCATGAAGTATTAGAAGCTTTAAAATCTTTATCTCAACAAGCAGTCATTCAAATGCTTTCTCTCCAACTCTACAGAACTACAGAAAGCACATCTCAGTTTTGCAGAATGCGCAAATCTAACTTCTGCAGCCTGCCTGAACACTCACCAAATTCAGATTCTCTTGTATTGAGGCAAAGGGAGTCTATAAAGAAAACCTGCCAGTCTGTTCTCCAGCTTTGATATGGCTGCTGAAGCAATTTAGAAGGGGAAGAAAAATTAGCAATTAAGGGATTCGTAGAATCCAGAATTTTAAATTCTCTTAGCTCCCTTAGTCTCCAGGTAGATATGTATAAATATTGATGCCATATGCTGCCAATGAAATGCCTTTTCGCCAGCTTTAGTCTCTATCTGGTAGCAAAGAGATGACCGAAAGGAAGATTTCCAGTCAAGTGTTCATTTTGTAATGAACACTTAGTGCCTCCCCTAATTCATGTGCTACCTGCACTGGTACCTAATAAAGCCAGCCCTCTAGCAAACCTGTATAGCCAAACAACTGTGCTACACTTCCCTTCTGTCCCCGTTATGCCCTATACTGGTTTGCCAGGAAAAGGGAAGAATATAACCAAGAAATGTGGCACTTACGTTCAGATCTAAACAACAGTATCATAATTCATTCACAAATTTGAAATGAAAATGACAAGTTTGCTTTCATCATTCCTTACATTTTCTTGAAACTGTGGTAAATCTATCCTATAAAAATGTGTGTATCTAAAAGACAATATGCTTTATCAGTATTTTCCCTTGCCATCCTGAAGAATGCATATTATTGGTACAACATACTTGTAGACAGAGAAGCATCCATCTCTTCTCCACTTTCACATCCTTTGCCAAAAAATAATCATGCATGAAATTCTACTTTAAAGCATTGTGAAGGTGGAAAATACAGTTCATAAAACCTCAGAATAGCTTAAGCTAAAAATCTGTAAAAGAATTATTGGATTGCTGCTCGACAGTATTTTATCATATTATGCCATGATACGCAGGCGGTTCCAGTGCAGTAGGATTACAGTGAAGCCCTGCTGACTTGCTGCCTACATGCATACCCTCTATGTAAAATGATATGTATTCTAGAGGCAAATAAGTGTGGTAGACCAAAAAAGAAAAGCACTTCAGGGGAAACCTCTATCAAAGAATTAACAGAGATACGCACAGAATTCCAAATTCGAGGAATATCAATGTGACTACAGTTAGTATTCCTGACCAACTCTTACCCTTCCATCCTCCCAGTAATTACCATTCAGCCATTCACAGATAAGGCCACTCAGAGGCTGAAGTTTTCCATAGCCACAGACGTGAACAAAACAGTAGTCCCAACTCTCAGCTATTTAGCTACACTGCTTTACAGAGTAAGTGTGCCAAGTTCCGTGCATAGCTAGTCCAGCCACTATGCGACACCCCGCTTCCAGCTAGGAAACAAAACTGGGACATCTTTATTCCTCACATTTCAATACTATTTCATATTTAGTCATTCAATCTACTAACAGAATATATGCAGTAATGCTTCCGTGAGCTTTCTCTACTCAAGGATAAGAAACTGTTTCCATTGATTATTTCTACAGCTCAAGAAGAAATTAGTAGCGTGCCTCTAAAGGAACTAAGCTCAATGTCTTCCAACAGGACACCACCGACAGGAAAGTAAATAAGTTTTAATGAACAGCTGAGCACAGGCTAAATTAAGATTCTAAATTGTTTGAAATGAAAGTTAATGAACATATGAAAGCTCTTTAAACTATAGAAAGTTTTCAAGGAAAGTAATATATGCACTTATAGAGAGAGAAAAGTGTCCTCATGCTTAAATACTTTTTAGTACACATACTACAGCAGTATCAGAAAGAACAGAAAAACTGAACTTTTACTGCAAATGTCCACTTATCTGGAATTACTTTACTATATGGAACATTAGTATTTAGATATCAATTTAGCTTTCCATTACAATACAATTGATATTCAATTAACTGGAAAAATTAAAAATGAGTAGTAAGTTAAGACTGGACGAAGAAAACTCTGAAAGAAATTGCAGGGGACCTAACCCCCGTTATCAGAATACGAAATAAAAACACTCAGCAGAGCAATCTTCTTGCACACTGAGATCATTAGATATGAGAAAACGAATTCTTAGAGCTCACAGGGCTTAACAGTTTATATGGGAACCAGCTGTGCCACTATGACAAACACAGTAAACAACTTTTTTCTCCTACCTAACAGAGAAATTCCATGTTTGCTCTAGATAGATCAGTTAAATATCTGTGCCTATTCTATCCTACTGTATAATGTAAGTACTTATATGTAATAAACATGAAACAAAAACATTGGCTGGAAATTTGTGGTGGACTTATTTGATTAAATGCTCAATATATTTAATACAGATACTGTATAATTATTTTCTGTGGCTATTCTGAGCATCTAAGACGGCACTTGCTTCAGCTGCACAAAGGCGTAAACTGTATTTTAATCTTGTAGTTTTTGTGATATCTTAAAAATAAAACTGCAGTTCTCCTTCCAAAGGATTCCAAAGTGTTCTATAAATGATACAAAAAATTGTCTCCAATATATTATCCTGTCTACAATACAACTGTCCATACCATAATTTGCACTCATTTCACACACTGGTGCTTTAAACTGAACTTGCCACTCCTGTAGCAATACAGAGGTCTGCATATGATACAAATATCACAAGGGCTATATAAACATGTTTAAAGCAATGCCACATAACAATCAATCCAAAGAGAAAGTAAATACTTTTTGCAAATTCTGGTGAAATTTAGGAAGGGAAAGTGTAACTACTCATATAGGGAATTCAATGGGGAACAAGAAATTAGCTTCAACTCATTCAACAGATTCTGAATTATCCCACTGGGCTAGAACGTCATCTTTTCTGTATCTCTCCACACTATTTCTGGACTCACGGAAAAAATAATGCTTTCATATGTAAATGCAGTCAACATTTGGATTTTATCTGATGACTGATATTTTTAAGCAAAGACTAAGAATTACTAAATGCTTCATGCGATACAGCAGACAGTTTTAAATGAAGCTTGGTGACAAACGTAATTCCATTTGCAGAATATTTCAAAATAAATGTCTGTTCCCAGAAGAAAACATTGACGTTTACCACAAGGAGGAATTATAGCTCCCTGCCCAATGTACTGAGGCTTTCCTCCTGAACATTTTGCCTAATGGGTGTCCAGACTTTGAAAACTTTGAATTGCAGGCAATCTAGGGGTCACCCTGTATTCAAAGGGCCTTTGCTAGACATGGGATGGAGTTCTTTGGGGCCTTGCTTGGATCCCTGTTTCGCAGCTTCTTAGCTCTCTCTCAACTGCTCTGGTGAGCCAATAAGGAGACTGGGATACAAATGGGAAACAGCTAGCCTAGCTTCTGAGAAAATTCAGGATGAGTACACCCTAGGAACATTTCAGACAAACTGACAAACTTTGATAGAGAACACTATGCTGAACTTAATCAACCTTAACTTGAACATAAAAAATACTTTTTCCAGTTTATGACACTATTAATAACCACATTAGGCATGGAAAAGGATTATTGTGGTCACTTATGTGTATTCAAAACAGCTAATACTTTGCTTTAGTATTAGAATATTATTGGCCCAGAGAGGTTGGGGAGTCTCCATCCTTGGAGATATTCAAAAGCCATCTAGATAGGGTCCTGGGCAATGCGCTTTAGGCGACCCTGCTTGAGCAGGGGGGTTGGACTGCATGATCTCCAGAGATTCCTGCCAACCTCAATTGTTCTGTGACTCTATCTTAGAGCAGATTTTTTTTCAAATACAATTTGACATATAAGAAATTTGAATCCACTTTTTATGAAATTGACAACATACATCTTAAAACTATGGATTTCTTCAGGTAGGCCCGATGCACAACAGCATTCATAATTGTTTATATCGCTAATAAAAAATAATAAACAAAAATTAGATATAAAGGTGTTTTAAGAGAAGCTTAAAGAGGAAATTAAATCGCCCTGCTAATCTCCCCCACATAGTTCATAGGTTTTAATAAATACCTATACCATTCTATCACATACAGAGTTAAGTATGAGCTTGCCACAAAACCCATGCCTCACACAGGCAGTTCCGACCACTCGTGCACTAATTTACTCTATACACCTATCTGTCTTCATCAGACGGATGAAGAGATGATTGTTTAAAAGACCAACCTTCAACATGAAACTAACTGAAAGTTAGGGAAGCTTCAGATTGCAAAGAAAAAATAAAAGTTACCTTTGAAAGCATCCAAAAGAATTTTTACTGATGCTACTTGAAGGTGAATCATCTGATGGCACTCCAGGTACTATACAAGAACAAAGAAGGTGCAGTTAATCTCATTACTGCAATTACTGCTTTCGTATCTGCTAGAATTCATTCAGAAACATGTGCATTTTTAAATTCCTCAGCCTAAGAAATAGATTTTGCTTTCACCACTTACCACATGAAAAGATTGGAATGGGGTATATAAGCAGAGGTGGTATTAAGATTTCTAAAAGTTAATTCTGACTCCTGTTCTTATTCTTTTTGCATACCCACAGGCAACTTGGTTACTCTTGCCTCCACAGGAGATTTGAAACAAAGCAAAAAGTGGTAGGGAGCTGAAATTAGTAAAACGCCTGGACACATTATTGCATTCATGAAAATACATAAATACAGAAACAATTCTAGGTATCTTCACTTGCAATATTTTAAGAGTAAGGAATTTAACACGCTGATTTAGTTGTTCTTATTGTTCAGCATACACCTTGTTGAGCATTTTGCTGGAATCCAGACTTACGTAGAAAAGAGGACTCTGGTGATGCTGTTACTCCAAATACAGTTGTATGACTGAAGCTATAAACAGTTCCACTTCTGTTCTCACACTAGTCAACCATTCTGAGTCTCCAATACACTCACAAGTGTGTACTGTAAATGTCACCTGATCACTACAAGCAGCTGATAACTAAGTAAAGTTCACATAAATTAGAGATGTCGCAGCTGAATACAGGACACGAGCTGAGGATGTTGACCACCTCATTTTGATCTAAGCCTATATGCACTTGAGTATACTGCTTCATTGTCATTTTTCATTCAACCTGTGTGTCTGTGAAACTGTATTCTAAATAACCTAGAGCAGCAGGTGAAAACACTAGCTGGAAAGGACTAATTACATTATCTTTTACCATCTCCTTTCCTATACTTCTGTGAAGGTTCTTAACTTTCATAAAAGTTATGCTTTCGCTCTTGAGAGCATACAGGTGATACAGACCAGATCATAGCTCACAAAACTGACCCAGCCACTCAGAACACCTCAACTGTTTGAATTGAAAACTAACACCTCAGTAGAAGTTATCTCAGAGCCACAGCAGAAATGTAACACACTGAGTTTGTCTCTGAAGCCAGTTTGGGAATGCCCAAAAAACAAATGGGCTTAAGAATAAGCACCTTTCTTGCTTCCCCCCCATCCCGTGCCCACCTCTTACTCTGAAGCATCCTTGTTCTCCAGACTATACTTATAATCCATCCTCATTACAGATAAGAGTTAACTGTTCTCCTCATTAGTGGTCCTTAAGACAGATTACTAGGGATCACAGAATGGTTGAGGTTGGAAGGGACCTCTGGAGGATCATCTAGTCCAACCCCTCTGCTCAAGCAGGGTCACCTAGAGCATATTGCCCAGGACCCCATCCAGACAGCTTTTGAGTGTCGCCAGCGAAGGAGACTCCACTACCTCTCTGGGCAACCCGTGCCAGTGCTCTGTCACCCTCACAGGAAAGAAGTTTTTCCTCAGGTTCCGATGGAACTTCCTCTGGTTCAGTCTGTGCCCTTTGCCTCTTGTCCTGTCACTAGGTACCACCGAGAAGAGTCTGGCCCCATCCTCTCGACACCCTCCCTTTAGATATTTTTATACACTGATGAGATCTCCCCTCTCAGTCTTCTCTTCTCCAGGCTCAACAGGCCCAGCTCTCTCAGCCTTTCTTCAGAGGAGAGATGCTCCAGTCCCCTCATCCTCTTTGTAGCCCTCCACTGGACTCTCTCCAGTAGCACCATGTCTCTCTTGTCCTGGGGAGCCCAGAACTGGACACAGTACTCCAGGGGAGGCCTCCCCAGGGCTGAGGAGAGGGGCAGGATCACCTCCCTCGACCTGCTGGTAACACTCTTCCTAATGCACCCCAGGATCCCATTGGCCTTCTTGGCCACAAGGGCACGTTGTTGGCTCAAACCATGTGGATCTTAAGGATATAGAAAAAACACAAAACCGAGATAAAATTTACAAGTCAAGTATCTGCAAATATTTTGCATCAAAAGTGTCTCTGTTTAAACTTTTTGTTGACAAACGCATGCAAAAGGTATATTTCTTCCCTACAAACCTTGCAGCTCAGCCCTTGAGTGTCCATAGTGGTTGGAAAATTCCCACAGAGACAAAGCAAGTTCCTGACTCTCCCTAACCCAAGAGCTCTCGTGTCTCATATGCCTAATCAGAAGAAAATTTGCATTTCTCAATACAGTCCATCCCTAGAAGGCATGAACTTGGTGAAAAAAATGCTGCAACACACTACCTTCTACATTCCAGAAGTGAAGCTTTCTCCTCAAAGCTTGCACAGTTTAAAGAAATAGCCCTATACACTCAAGCATCTGAGCTACATATAACTTGACTCCTTGTAACGGACCAAAGCTGAGTCATAAGCAACACACTACCAGCCTAACACCTGACTCAGCAAAATAGCAGCTGTGTTGGCAGGTGACAAAGGTGCTAACTCAAAGCCTCTGTCTCCTTGCCAGGCTAGCCAACTAAGTCCACTTGGATAAACTGGGTTTTCCTAAGAGGCCTCTTTCAAAAGGAAGTTTTCATACAAACCATCCCCTTTATTTCCCTGAAGAATTTCATACGCTCTCCTGCATGGAACTAGCATTACTTGCACCTGCACTCACACTGTAAGATGCAAAGCTTTCACCTCGCAAAGGGGTAGCACGCTACAGCCACACCAGGCTCCGCAGCCTGCAGCGAGCACACCTGCTGGGGCAGAGAGCAGGAGACAGCGCCTGAGGCAGGCTCCAAGCCCTCGCTTGCGTTTTAACGGAGCCTACCTCCCCCCAGCACCAGCACAGGCCGGAAAGACTGCGCCAGCGAG